TCTCTCTCTCTCTCTCTCTCTCTCTCTCTCTCTCTCTCTCTCTCTCTCTCTCTCTCTCTCTCTCTCTGTGTGTGTGTGTGTGTGTGTGTGTGTATAGGTGGCCAGAGGCCCATCCTGCTTTTTGAGACAAGGTCCCTCAACTGCCGTGAAGCTTACTGGCTTGCTAGGCTGGCTGGCAGCAGGTTGCAGGAATTCCCTATCTTTACTTTCTCAGCACTGGGATTGTAAGCACATGCTGCTACACTGGCCTTTTTAAAGCACAGGTCCTGGATTTGAACTCAGACCCCTAAGCTGGTACAACACGCTCCTCACCAACTGAACATCCTCTCTAGCCACTTGCTGGGAAGTTCTTTTGACATTTTTCTCAGGGTGATGTTACTTAGCAAAGAGTCCTAAATATGAATTCCTCTCATACATATTGTTTCTGTCTCAAGCAGTAGCTCAGGCGGCAAGGAAGTCCATTCCTGAGGCAGACAAGCCCCCTCTGTATGAGCTCAGGGCAGGCCGGGGTTTGTGGGAATATCCATGAAAGAGCCTTGGGTGTTTCTGAGGCGGGACTGATTCTCAGCAGTGGGGGGGGGGGGAACAGATGTCACCGACAGGATTGACAAGTGCAGCCAGCTGTGGATGGGGCCTCATCTGTGAGGAAGGAGCTGAGGCCAGGGTGGAAATCACAGACCGAGGCACCTCCCTGGCTCAGCTGGCTTGCGTAGATTATGTTCTTTGTATGGGTTCAGGCGGGGCTAACTGGGGCAGAATGGGAAGGCACAGAGTCCTGCGGATGGGAGGCAGCCACAGGTGGAGCAGGTTGGGATGCCATGAGAGCCGGCTCTACTTGGAAAGGGGCGCTTATTTATTTACTTTTTCTTTCTAGGAATTTTAACTAGTTTCCTGACCTCTCTGTGGGTGGCAGGGAAGGACAGTCCAGTGTGACTCTCAGTTTTGTTGTTCTCTCCAGCAGAGGAGGGGCAGAGGATAAGAATACCAGGGTATTTCTGCCAGCTGGAGGGCACAGCCTTTCCTCCTGGCAGCTCAGCCACATCCAGAACTAGGGCTCCGCACGGCAGGGTCATCACCTGCTCCATCCCACCCCGACGTCTCACCTGAGGTTCCCCTTGTTGGTGGCATACTTGACGTGGTTACAGATGTAGTTGAACATGCCGTGGGCCGTGGTGCAGTCTCTGGCATCGAACACCTGTGGAAAGTGCGTGGTGGGACTGCTGGCTGCCTCCCCTCTCCCTGGCAGGTCCAGGGCAGACTTCCTCTCTAGGGGACCCTGAACTCACTGCCTCTGCCCCCCCCCCCACTGCTCTTGGATAGCCAGCCCCCCTACTCTTGAGGTCCAGGCTGTATAATTTTGTATTGCTTTTTGCTTTTCTATGCCAATAACCGAGGAAATGTCCCCAAAAGTATGCGTAGAGGTCACATGACTAGGTGGTGAAGAACGGAGCAAGCTGTCTGGGGCTGGTTGTATTTCCTGTGGGCTCACCAGGAGTTTAAAAACTAGCAAAAAAAAAAAAAAATCAAATAATATAGAGCTGAGGGTGGAGGTGGGAGCTCACGAGACCCTGCTCTGCCCTGAGGAGCTGCTGGGAATTGATGGCTTCTCACTTTCTCTGGTGATGTAGCACCGGAAAGCTGGCCCCACCTTAGTGAGTAACCCCACACCCCAGCTTGTGCCAGAAGCCCAAATCAAATCAGTGGGGTCACAGAACATAAAAATAAAATATAGGACCCGGAAGTAGAAGAGGACAGCTGGGAACAGGAAGATAGCAAGAGAAGGTAGTGGGTAACGAATATGATCGAAATTTGTTATGTAAGTGAACGCCATAATGAAGCCGTCAGTATGCACGATACACGCTAGTACAGTCCTTCGAACAGAAAGAATTGATCCGACAAACCAATCTACTTGTAACATTAAGCTGCTCTCTAGGACAGACTCAAACTAGGGGTGCAGAAGTGAACACCTTCGGGCAGGTGCAAGATAAAGGGAGTGGGGTCTTCAGGAAAAGAGACAGCAGAAGGGAGTGGTGAGGACTTCGGCAAACAAGACATTCGCCTGAGTTCTCCCAGGAGGCATGGTGATTTCCTCCAGCGAAGAACAGTGTTCTGATGGGTCTCCACTAGACTGGATCTCTTTTGAAACGCCATCTGCCCCATTGGCTTGTTCCCTTCCAGAGGGTCTTCCAGGCGCCTAAGTGTCACCACCTACCTGCAGCTTGGACCACTGGATCCTGCCCACGCATCGAGAGGCATTCCGCCAGGCATGCTTGGCTCCGTAGATGAGCTCGGTGTCCTTGAGCTGGTAGGTGCTGGTGCTTTCGATCTCCTTGTTCACCTCCTCCAGCCTGTCCATGTGCGCCTTGGAGCCAAACCTAAGGGAGCGGGGATGGGGCAGGGAGAGGGCCACAGTGTGATGGCTTGGAAGAGTTCTCCCTACTCCCCCAGCAGCGGAGTTGCAGGCACTTTCCAATAAGCTCTGTGTTCACAGAGTGCTGGGGATCCGTACTCAGGTCCTCACACTTAAACAAGAAGCATTTCCCCTACTGGTCCAATTGCCTAGGCCTCTGTACTTGCCTTTTAATGGACGAGTAGTATTGGTCGAGAAATTCTTTGGCTAGCGGGAAGAGCTGGTCCTTTGTGCGGACATCTTCTGGCTTCCGAGTGTGCTGGGATGGCAGCATGACAGAGCCCATGCAGATGTGCTCTGTGCACCCCGTTTCCTGGGAGCCAAGAGGGAGGTGAGTGAGTGTCTGGCTTCTCGCCACCATAGTTGGCAAGCGTCATGACTGAGGACCAGGACCCGGGACTCACAGTCAGGCTGACTCAACCTTCCATCCCAAAAGGATCTCCCAAGCCAGCTTCAAATTATTGCTGGACATGATTGGTCAAAGCCCTCAAGGAGCGGTGGCCTTGTTTTAAGCTGCCCAAAGTGTTTGCACAGGTCAGTTAGGGAAGGGAACCTGTCATCTATCTACCTGTCATCTATATATTATTTATCATCTATTATCCACATATTATCTACCTATCATCAACCTATCAATTATCTATGTGCCTATCTGTCTACCTATCCTCTATCCATCCATCATTTATTAACTCTATTATGTGTATACTCATCTACCTATCAATTCATTAGTTATTTACTCATTTATCATTGATCATCTCTCTCACTATCCTCTATCTATCTATCTATCTATCTATCTATCTATCTATCTATCTATCTATCTATCTATCATCTATCCTATCTATCTATCTATCTATCTATCTATCTATCAATCAATCATCTATCCTATCTATCTATCTATCTATCTATCTATCTATCTATCTATCTACCATCTATGTATCATCTATATTTTGGGTTTTGAGACAGCATCTCATACAGCCCAGGCTGGTTGGTCTTGAACTCACTATGCACCTGAGGTTGGCCTTAAGTTTTCAACTTTCTGCCTTCACCTCTCAAGTGCTAAAAGTACAGGTGTGTGCCACTGCACCCATTCCCAGAAAATCTTTTTTATTCAGTTTGATCAAAGAGAACCAATAATGACATTGTCATTGTCAGCACCATCTCATCATTGCTGTCACAGATATTATTATTATCATTATTATTATTATTACTGAGATGAGGTCTTTATATGTCTGAGGCCAAAGATGACCTTTGAATTCCGACCTGCTGCCCCTACCTCCTGAGTGTAGAGTCTATAGTCACACACCATCACACCACCTGTGCTCTGGTGCTTAAACCCAGGGCTTTACACAGTCTTCTAGGGTGACTGAAGGTGCGTGAGATAGACTCTGTCAAAACTAGCCACTTCTTGGTCAGGTCTGCAGAGCCATCTGGCCACACTGTGCATTTACAAAAAGCAACACATAGCAGTTGTTTTCAGGCACTGAGTTTGAGGCCTGCTTGTTACGTGGCACTAGCCAACAGATACAATGCTCCTTCAAGAGACTTTTTTTTTTTTTTTTAAACAAAAATGGAAGGCAATGGGTTGGAGTGTTGAGCATTAAGAATGTGGTAGAGGACAGAGGCCACAGTGGGAAACAAGGAAAGGTTGGTTCAGCGCCCATCTGTGATCACACTGTCAGAGGTGAAGGAATGTGCGAGGACCCTTACCTTCTGCTGGGAGCAAGGTGCTCACACAGAAAAACCCCATCGGTAGAGCACTCAGGGAGGCGTGAGGCTGTGCCTGCAGAGCCCCTGGCTGTCACTACGTGGGCGGGGATTCTGGCCTCTGATGGGGTGGGCTGCAGGCTGTGTTGATGACATTGCCATGCATATGACCCCCCCACAGATGCCCCTCCCCCTCCTCCCAACACTCACCAATGTACTCTTGAGGTGCAGAGTGTCAGTGAGGACCACATCTGTCTCCCAGTTCTTGACCTTGAGGAAGCGGGGGCACCTGGAAGGGCTGCCATTCTTGGTGGGGGACTGCTTTCCCGAGGTGGGGGGCTGCGAATGAGAAGGAAAGTGACACACGACACAGGACCAGAGGGGCCGCGATGTCTCGTCTGGGACTTATAGGCTTTGCTCTTTTTAGGTCACCCACTGCCTTCAGAGAGAAGCACCCCCCCCCCCCCGTGCCAGGTGTGAGATTCCCAGAAACCAACAGCTTTGCCTATGCAAAAGACACATCATGGCACGGGAAAAAGCTATGGATTCAGTCCTGGGGTAGAAGGCAAGAGGTCACAGGTGATTGCTTCAGTGTCTGCCCCAGAGTCAAGAGTATCTAGAATAGACTCTATGTTCTAATATCTAGAATGCCTCTGAGAGACCCGGTGAACGTTTGTGGAATGAATAAATGACTGAGAGGACCTTTGAATGGTTACAGTCCTTAGAGTTGTAGAAACGGGGTCATTTGTTTGGTGGGGACACCCCCATGTGAGAGACAAGCTGGAGAGGGAGGAGTCTGAGCTGTGTGACTCACTCAAGTGCAAGTTCTAACTCACAAGCTCTTATGGCCCCCTTTTCATCCTAACTCAGAACTCATGGCCAAACATACTCAGTGAACATCGGTGACCTCAGCCTCCTGAAACAGGAGAGAAAGAACAAGCAGGCACAAAAATGGTAGCGTTGCGGTGGGATGAGAACATAAAGGAAGGGAGGGGATGGAGAGAGGTGAGCGCAAGGGCCTGTGGTCAGGGTGAACTTGCTGAGTTAAAGGACCAGGGGCTTGGGGCGCTGGTTCAGCTGCTTCACCAGGAACATAGACCTAAGTTTGATTCCTGGAACCCGTGTGAAAAACCCAGGCATGGTTAAAGGTCAAGCCCATGGCTCACAAGCTTGGAAGCGCTGAGGCAGGAGGACAGCTATGAGTTATATGATGGAGTTGACAGCCTGAGTCTTCAAAGACCAGCTCTGCTTTCCTCCCTCAGAACTGGGTATCGCTCAACACGATTCTAGCGTCACTCTGGGCTGCTTGCATTGGCGCCATGGAGACTGAGTGATAGCTCCAAGAGGGAGCCGTGGACACAGTGTTCCCATCGTGATGGGAGGGCAGAGGTTCGGACAGTGGTGGGAATGAGGATCAGGTGTAGGGTGTGGCTGGCCAATGGCCTTTAGCCCTTGCTACCACGCAGCAGAGAAACAAGATAACGGACCAATGGGAGCTCCTGGGTAGCACACCAGAAGCCTTGCTGGGCCTGCTGCACCTGGCTTTGATTAGCCTTCAGAGACACTGGATGACAGGGAGGGGATAAATGAGGAGATGGAGTGTAGGAGACAGGGGCCCTGCATACAGGACACAAATGGCTTTCTGAGTGGGAACCAAAGTCTCTGCTCAAAATGCAGATCAGCACGTTCAGAGCCGCAAGGCTGGGTGGGCACGTGTAGACTGTGGTGGCAGCCACACCTGTCCATTCCGTTCCCAGTTTCGTGTCTGCTGTAGGAGGATGGAAGTGTCCCCGTGGGGGGACACCTGCTCTAGCTGGATGCCCACAGACTCACTCTGCTGAGGGATTCTTAGAAGCCCAAGAGAAATACCTAGGCACTCAGGTCCATGGAGGCTGAGCCCCCCCCCCCCCCCCCCCCCCCCCCCCCCCCCCGCCCCCCCCCCCCCCCCCCCCGCCCCAGGTGACAGTGCTAACCCCGTCACTGGGGAACAGGAATGGCTCACCGACTGTCCTGAGGCAGGGGTCTGGGCTCTGTAGCCTGTGGGCTCAGCCAATGCATGTTTGTGTTTCTGGAGAGCCCTTTCCCCCCATTTTTACACGGTTTAGTACAACAACCCAAATAAGAATAATATTTTGTGTTTCATGGAACAATAGAAAGCTCAGGTTTCAGGGGTGAGGTTTTCACGGCCCACCCTGTTGCCCGTTTCTCTTGCGAAGCGCTGAGACTGAACCCAGGCCTTCACACACACGTAGGCAAGTGTTACCCACTGAGCTCCATCCCCAACCTTTGAAGCAATTCTGTTAACCTTTCCAGGCAGGCTTTGCACTTACTGCGTAGCCCAGGCTGACCCCGAACTTGTTATCCTGCCTCAGCCTCCTGAGTAGCGGGAGTCATGGGCCTCTGCCATCAGGCCTGACCCGTTCAGGGCTTCGTGAACACGGCAGTGTCACTGTGTTATATATAATTATGACAGAAACAGAGACTGGAGAGTTCCAAAGATGTCTCCAATTTTGCCACTGGCCTATTTTGCTCAAATGCCATTGGGGTGGAGGTCTTTCCAGAATTTCTAGGAAATATCCCTGTGTGCCCTGCTCTCCAGTGACCCTTACCACATGTTAAACATCTGTAGAACACTTATCATAGCCTGCGGGGGTCTTTTTTGCCTCTGTATGTGTGCATGTGCGTGCACGTGTGTGTGCATGCGTGCATGTGTGTGTGAAAGGCAGAAGACAACCTTGGGTGTTATCTCAGGCACCATCCCCCTTATTGCGAGACAGGATCTTCTATTGGTCAGTAGCCAACAAGCAGTTCGCTAGCCAGCCAGCGAGTCCCACAGGTCCACCCCTCTCCAGTTCTCCAAGTGTAAGCTGCAAGTCCAAGATACAGGCACCATGTCTGACTTTCTTGTTTGTTTGCTCTTAGCATCCTTGAAACCATCAAGTGACCTAAATGCATAGCCAAGGACTCTGGTCAAGTCTTGATTTGGGGGGGGGGGAGCAGTGAACCATGAAGCTGCTGAGCTTGAGTGAGTTGCTTGATGGAAGCCAGGGGCTATTAACAGAGGCACCTAGACTTTTCACGGGGTCACAACCCGACAGACCTATTGTAAAGTGAAAGTATCCCAAGGAGAAAACTCAGATGACACCTAACCCGTGGGGCATTCCGGCTCAGTAGCCAAAGCTCACTGTGGAGTGCTGGGTGCTTCTCTGTGATTTCTCACTGAGAGGGAGCTACAACGATTGGGCTGTATATTCCCGCAAAACCTCAAGTACAATTTCTACAGAATAAATATTGCTTTCTCACCACCGCGAAACTGAAATGCTAAGGATTTCAAGGATCGTGGGAGGGAGGACGGGAAGGCTGAGAGCCTTGGAGATGCTTTCTCCACAGCGTGGTGGGGGCACAGCTGGAGAGTAGATCTGGACGTGGGATTGGAAGAGGGAGTTGAGCTGAACATGGTGTACAGGATGGGCAGCTGAGAGTCTGGGGTGTGAGAAGTCAGCCTAGTGGCTTCCTGTTAGGGCCATTGATGTCCTGAAAACTTGATGAGACATTACCAGACTCTGAGAAGCATGGGGGAGAATGTGAGGGCTGGAGGGAGGAAGTGTTTGAAGCAAGAATCTCATGGCAGGCAGAAAGATGTCAGAGCAGGGTCAAGGACCTGTGTGTTCCCAATAGACTTGTCCTGTCAAATCCTTATATCGATGTCCCAAAACCCAGTACGTTTGAATGTGACTGTGGTGGCTAATGTTGGCTGTCATTTGAGAGGATCTAGAATCACCATGGAGACAGGCTCCTGGGCATGTCAGTAGGAGAGTTCACAGATTAAGTTAGTTGAGGTGAGAAGACTCAGTCCCAACTGTGAGTGCCATTGTCCTAGGACCTGGGGTCTTGGAACTGAATACAGAGAAGTGAGCTGAGCCCCAGCACTCCTCTCTCTCCCCCCTCTGCCTTCTGACTATGTACAATGAATGTAACCAGCTAGCTCAAGCTCCTGCCGCCATGCTTTCCCCTCTCCCCTCAGACTGTCAGCCAGAAAGAACCCCCCTTCCATATGTTGCTTTTTCTGGGTAGTTTGTCACCGTAATCAAACTGAAGACTGTGGTAACAGGTTACAATGTAGTCACTACATAGTCCTTGATTCAACATGGCTGACATTATGTAGAAAAGGGGAATTCAGGGGCAGACACTCCCCCACCCAAAGAGGAAAATCTTGGGATCACGAAGGCTTTTGTGACTTTCAGTTCTCTGTGTCATAATGGTGACACAAAGCACCAGGTTGTTAGGACTGGGTTATGCAGCCCGGATGAGTGAGCCCTGGAGCTGAGCCCAAGCTTGCAGTCAGCCAGCATCTCCCTTCTTCCCTGTTGGCACCAGCCATGGCCGCTCTGTGACAGCCCTGCATCAACCTGCCTCTTCTGGACTTGTCCTGAAATGAGGACAGCAAGCCGGGGCCAAGCCGGGCAGCAGGCCATCACACCACAGGGGCTAGACGCCGCCTCCTGTGATCTTCCTGCAACCCTAGGCAACACCTGCCCCAACCTGTGGGGACTTCTTCTTCAAGAGAGCCAGCTTAAGCCAGTTATGGTCCCTGGTAGTGTAGCATCCATGCCATAAGCAAATTGTTTGGAGGATGGAGCCAATTGTGCTTGGGACCTGGGGAATGATTTCTGTGGGTTATGTGCAAAGCATTGTGTTCAAAGTGACCCAGTCCCTACAGTGACCCTATGATACTGGCAACCGCTCGCTTTAATTTCCTCTCACCATCGTACCGTGTTCTAGTCCATGGGGGTGGGGAAGAGGAGGAGTTCTGGGAAGCAGACCTGTTCTAGTGTGAGAGAGGAGGTGGTTCAGACCCCTGAGTTTAGAGAGGCCCTTAAAGTACAATGTGAGCGGGGGTGGGGGGGTGGGGGGGAGGAGGGATGCTTAGCTCAGTTTCTAGAGAGCGAGCTGTGCAAGTCTGAGGACCTGAGTTCAGATCCCCAGCACCCATGGAAGAAGTCAGCTGTCACAATTTTGTGCTTGAAACCCTAGCATTGGGACAGAGGGACAGGGGGATCTCTGGGGCACTCCGGCCAGTTGGTCCAGTCAAAACAGGTTTAGTGAGACACCCTGGCTCAGAAAAGCAAGTGGAGTCACCTACTGGGGCATGAACCATGTACTGCAGGCAGTACTAAATGGATTAGTGGGTTATAAAAATATAAAACCACAAAAGGACGTGAAATTGGGAGGGAGACAGAGGGTATGTTGGGGTAGGGATGGTGAGGAGGCTGGAAGAAGGGGATACAGGATGGATATGACCAAAATGCATTGTATACGTGCATGAAATTTCTTAAGAG